CCCCCCAAAAAAAAAGAGGGGGTCCCCCCACAAAAATATTCGGAGAGGGGGGGGGGGGGCTTTTTTTTTTTTTCCAAGCACCCCACACCACCACCTGGGATCCACAGGGCCCCCCTCCGCCCTCCCAACCCCAACTTTTCTACCTCTTGCAGAGGCGGCCAGCTCGAACACTCTGTCACCTCCTCCCCTCACATGCCGCCCCCCTCTCTCCAACCTCCGCCTACCCCCGCAGTTTTACAAGGACGGCGCAGTCTTCCTCCCCTTCGGCCTCACCGAGGCGGACAACGTCACCCTCGACCTGGTCATCTCCAACGTCACCGAGTACCGCCCGTGGAACTCGGCACAGAATGGGCGGAACCGACCCATCGACCCAGAAAACTGGCAACCGGGCCAGCCGCTTGGCGCCTTCGGTGCACTCAACCTCGCCGGAAACACCTCCAGCATCTTCCAGTTCGACTTTGTTTTCAAGGTGCCGTGCTCAAGCCCGAACGCGAACGCCACCATCTGCGCAGACCCGGACGCCACCACCATCTTCGAGGCGAGCCGGAACGGGAACACCACGTCGAGCTACGACATAGTCCTTGAGAAAGAGGCCGCCCTCGCCAATGAGAAGCCGACGTTCGACACTTGCTTCTTCGACTTCGACACTGGCGTCGACGGTGTGTTGGCCGAGACGATCACCGCGTTCGACGTTGCCGACTATTTCACGCACAGCGACCGCGGCTCCGCCGCCGACACGGAGGAAGACACCCGCAACCTCCCTTTCGAAGTCTGTCCGAACGTGCGCGCTCCTCGGCTCCCGCCCTCTCCGCGCGCCCCGCCCGACTCACCCCGTATCTCCGCCTCCGCAGATCGACACGTCGGGAGCCATCCAGTTCGAGTACTTCAACGGTATCACCTACCGGGATCAAGGGATCGCCGCTACGGATGGTTTTGCGGGCCCGGGCATCATCACAGAAGAAGACATCGGCCTCACGCAGCTGCCCGACAAGGCAGCTGCTCGAGAAGGCGGCCTCACGGGGTCAGACAAACTGACCGTGAAGGCCACGGCGCTCTTGGTTGGGAACGGCAACGACAACCCACAGGTCCTCGACGACGTGCTCCTGAACCCAGAATTGTGCTACATCTACGACATCTGCCCGTCGATCGCAACCCCGGTCGGGTGGCCTGTCACCGTCAGTGGCGTAGCGAACATACCGACT